CCCCTCTTAAGTCAAATGGCGTTGATAATCTTGTGAATCAAAATTTATGGTTCTATATAGGGCAGCCATCAGTATGTATCTAATTGATATGATTTTGAATGCATTGACATTTCGATACAAATTTAACCCATACACCTTACATTGGCAGTAGTCTTGCACGCGACGTGCTCTAACCAACTGAGCTACAGAGAGACAGTTGTCGAGCTCTAACAATTGTCTCTCTGTAGCTCACTTGGTTAGAGCTTGACAACTATCTCTCTGTAGCTCACTTGGGTAGAGCTCGACAACTGTTTCTCTGTAGCTCAGTTGGTTAGAGCTCGACAACTATCTCTCTGTAGCTCAGTTGGTTAGAGCTTAATTGACAACTGTCTCTCTGTACTAGCTCAGTTGGTTAGAGCTCGACAACTGTCTCTCTGTAGCTCAGTTGGTTAGAGCTCGACAACTGTCTCTCTGTAGCTCAGTTGGTTAGAGCTCGACAACTGTCTCTCTGTAGCTCAGTTGGTTAGAGCTCGACAACTGTCTTCTGTAGCTCAGTTGGTTAGAGCTCGACAACTGTCTCTCTGTAGCTCAGTTGGTTAGAGGTTGACAACTGTCTTCTGTAGCTCAGTTGGTTAGAGCTCGACAACTGTCTCTCTGTAGCTCAGTTGGTTAGAGCTCGACAACCGTCTCTCTGTAGCTCAGTTGGTTAGAGCTCGACAACTGTCTCTCTGTAGCTCAGTTGGTTAGAGCTCGACAACTGTCTCTCTGTAGCTCAGTTGGTTAGAGCTCGACAACTGTCTCTCTGTAGTTCAGTTGGTTAGAGCTGGACAACTGTCTCTCTGTAGCTCAGTTGGTTAGAGCTTGACAACTGTCTCTCTGTAGCTCAGTTGGTTAGAGCTTGACAACTGTCTCTCTGTAGCTCAGTTGAAAAAACTCAACCCACGAGCATCGTTTTGGTGTAATAATATAAGTACAATATTCAAAATTGCATATTTGAGCTGACATTTAAATTGTTAAAGTATGAAAGAAGACGCCGACAGCGCCATTTATGAGAATGATTGGATCCCAATTGATCCAATATGACTTGTGTGCACCTCAATGTCGTCTGAGAACTGGCAATTAATCAAATTTTCGATTGACGTCCGGAATGTGTACAAAACAGAGCCAGGTCTGCCAGGGCTTTCATTGTTTAAGCAAGACGTGTGTATGAAACAATTGGGAATGAAGCGCTTATATGAAAAAAGATATTGAATAGACAGGAAATGCAATACAATGTAACAGATCAGGCGAAACCATGCATACACCAACACATATTAAACACCGGCTTTGTTTTTTAAAGCAACTTCCTGAGAACTTGTATTGAATATTGTTATTATCAAATCATGCCAAAATACTCAATATTTTTAACAACACGTTTACAAGGAAACTTGAATAAAAAAACATAATACTTGAAGAGGCTTCACAGTTGTTAGTGTATATGTTTCTTTCAAATCAGTGACCAGATTTTCATTCCGCATTTATCTGATATAATGCAATTTCCTCTGTTGCATGTTGGACAGTGAGAGCCTTTTCTCTGGGTACCCAGATCCTTCTGTAGTAACACTGGATCCTTCTGTAGTAACACTGGATCCTTCTCTAGTAACACTGGATCATTAATGAAGGAGTACGTGGGCTTTACTGGACCACCAGAGAGTTATATTAAAAACTGATAGAGCTATTCAGCATAAAGAAGGCTTGCTTTGCAAAGAAACTAATTTTAAATGCACTCGAAAGCCCTTAAAATGTCGCAACCTTTGAAGTGCAAACAATTTTAAACTGGTGGACGTCAATATAGTTTATCAGTTACTGGTATTGTCAACAGCCACATGACTGTATTTCAACGCGTTTGCCCCCAAAACACCTTTGACAAACCCCCAACACACCTTCCTCCAGACACCAGAAATATGATAATGCCGAGCTTGGCGGGAAACTATCGGTCTGTCGCCACATGCAAACACATATGTACCTCATTAAATTTCATAAATGTTTGTACTGTATTCTCCAAAAAACTAGCTTGAAATAATTGGGGTGTTTTTTTCTGTATGAAGACTCCTATATTCTGTTAGAAATAGTCAGTTCGACACAGTCAAATACCAGAGTAAGATAATCATATTCTGGTTTTAGACAGGGTCAAATGAATAGTATCGAAGGGGCTGAACAAATACAGACAGATACATATTAAATTTCATATAATTTTTCACACAATGAAATTTCTTACATTACATCCCTCATTCCCATATTCGGTGTTACTATCCATAAAATTTACAACCAAATTGCTAATGATTTTTATACAATCATGAAAATGTTCAAAATATTCTAGACCGAAACTATATATGTACAATAAGTTATGCTTGGCATTACTCTATTTACAAGATAATTGCTACTCTTTGCGATTGCCTTTAGTGAGTTAGTGTTACAATTATTAATTTACGTTTGTTATACTCTAAGTATATGGTTACCACAACATTCTAAACTATTCGCTTAGCCAACATAACCAATATCAAAATAGTTTATTCTATAGTTTGAAATACGATATGGATTTTATAGTGTGCACTACTTTGTCAGTGCTAGATAACTTGTATAATACATGAATCGATATACCATTTTAGTTGGAACTACATATTTATATACAGTTTTGTGAGAGCACCGCGTTTATTTATTCGATCTTCATCAATGCAAATAAAGTAACGTGGTATTTTTCACAAAAAAAAACAATTTTGTTTATTTTTTATCTCATTACAAACCTACCGAAGAAACTAGTCCCCGGCATGCCCCATGGTTTAATTAGAATTCTGCTTGCAAACATCCCATTATTTTACTAAGATATCGCCTCTGCTTGCCTTGACTTCTGTAATCATTTCTCAAACGTTCATTCCCAAATCAATCATTTGTCATCCCAAGGAATCTCCCTTGACAACAGACAAGAAATCTCCCTTGACAAGAAATCTCCCTGGAAGCATTCCATCATTCACCAAGAGATAGTTCGTCTCGATGACCTCTTCTGACCACGATGATATGACTTCCAGTACTCATTCCTAAACCTTCTTCCCGTGTCTTTGTCCAGAAATCCTCCGTGTAATGCTCGATCATAATGTACATGTGACATGGACAAAAAGTACGGAGAATCGCAATCATCCTTGCTCCGTTCCTCCACTTCTTTAATATCTTCTAAACTTGGCGAAAACGTCCTATCTTTAAAGATTTTTGTAATAGGTTTACTTTTATTACTGGACTTTACTTTTGGTAGCTTCATGTCCATTTTAATCACACCTATCTCTTCGACCTTCGCTTTGTGATGGTACAGTTCTTCATAGTCGCAAATATTTTCCAGAGACTCGCAGTCCGACATGGAGAGAGGGGAATCATCATCAGTTGACGGCAATTGTGTCAAGCCAGGTCGCACTTCTAACACTTCTAACATGATAACAAGCTCCTGCATGAAGGTACTTTGTTGCTTCAGGCCTCGGGCTTCTCTAAATACCAAATAAAGCTTGTCATGGCCAGAAATTACGGACATTGATTCTGAGCATGTGCAAAGTACATGTTGTTATATATAAATCATTAGGAGTGGTGCGGTTTTTTAAAATTTAAACTTGTTTGATAATAGCTATGTCATTTGCAGACTTCGCAATAATATAAACTATATCTGGACCGTAAAACAGAAAAGTTTCGCATCGGAATCTTACCTATAAGTTGTTCCATTATTCAAGTTCACTTCATAGTACATCGGCGTATAATAAAGTATAGTAAAACTTGAGAAAATCGTTCAAAACGTACATTTTGCTCTGGCCGCATGTATCCCTCGAACCCTTCATGAAATTTGCAGACTTTGCGTCGTAAAATATATGTTGTCCCCTGCTTGTCTGCATAATTTCATAGTGATACGATTTTTTTAACTTGTTCCAATTTACGGGACAAAATGTTGATATTTTGCCCATAAATACCCTGTCGATAGGCCGTAAAACATTGCAAGAAGAACGATGTTTCGTGAATTGTCGTTCATGTTTGATATCAACAAGAAGCTTAGGAACCAGGCTTTCTTCCAGTGTGGGCTACACGGAGGAATAGCGATGTATACACAAAATATTTGAGTCGTTTACCATGCGCATCACTTTATATCCCATCATAATAAATAAAAGGTATGTAAAAGGCCGTCAATACCTAATATATGTATTTTTCTGCTTTAGTTAAACAAGAAACTAAGCAAAATGTATTTTTTTAGTTAAAACTTGCGTTTGTTAGGTATGAATAACTTTTCATAGGAAAAACCGCTGAGATATATTGCGGGCGCATGTCCTGAATTTCTGGCCATGAAGTTTGCATTATAACGACTGCATGACGACAGCGAAATAGCAAACATTTCTTGATTTGATGATTGATAAATTTCTTGCAAATATATTTCATTTTTGCTGGCATTTTTGCAAGATTTTGTAAATTTCAAGAAAGAAAGGGCGAAGGAATCGGCTAAAAGAAGGGAGCCGACGTTAACGAAGGTAAGTTTGTTTTAAATATTGATTTTATAATTGCTTTAAAACCCGACGGCCTTTGCGTATAAGAAACAACTAAACAAGACAGCATATATAAATTTCAGTGTATCTTTAATATTAATTCCTTTTTAGCATTTTTTTGAATTTTTTAAATAAAAAAAAAGCAAAGTTATTTGCATGCGAGAATTTGAAATCATTTTATTGCAAACTCAAAGTTTATCGATAAAGCCATTTAATTAAAGGCAGTTTAGTCTCGAGTTTAGTTTTATAAAGAACACTTTAAAACGTTTTGCGAAGCGTTTGTGGTTGAATTTTACCTTAAATTGAAGCTTATATTACGTATGTCATACCTAACATACATATGTTGGGAAATTGATAATTTTGTAATTAAAAGTGATATTTTTAGGCGATTTTTCATTTGTAAGAATATTCTTAAAAAAATATCGTGTTACCATGAGTCCATGACAACTACTTTAGATACTTCATGTTTGGAAAATACAATGGTTTTGTCAGCAAGGTGAGGGTTTCTGCATGCATGTATTTTCTAGTATTATATATATTTGTCAGCATTGTTCGCTGAGTGCCCAAACACTAGAATTTTATCTTGATTTTCTTAAACTTCGATACAGCACAAAATTAAACTCAACAGATTATATTTCCAGTCTTTCAAACCTTTGTATGCCCCGAAGGAAATCTTGATTCTTGACCTGGAATTTTAAAATTTTTGTGTTGTTATTTTAAACGCATGCTAATTATCAATTAACCAATGAAATAGCTTCATTTGTCATAAATTATTCAAATAAAGCACTGTCCAATCAGAGGCTGGTACCCAAATCTGGGAACTATCCACGTGACCTGAACAAGGATTATGCATCCAACTCACAGACGTTCTCTCGCGCGTTTCGTCGAGAGTATAACGGCTGTACACAGGCTAGGTCAGAGACAAAGTTCCAGGCAAGATGTAAATAAAGTCACGCAAACACGTCATGACTATCTCGACGATACAGATGAAGAATTTGCCTATGTAATCAACTCAAGTACTAAACCGCCAGTGACAAGAATCACAGTCGAAAATGTTGCGATCAAAGTTATCGTAAATACAGGATCTTCAGTGAACCTCCTTAATAAGTCGGCTTTCAAAGAAATCCAAAAAAGAATCCAAACATCCGGGTATAATCCTCATATAAGAAAGTCTTTCCGTACGGAACAAATACCCCTCTGGAATTAATCGGTGAATTGTAAGCCCAAATCACAGCAAGTTCAGGTACAACAACAGGTACATTTCTCGTCACAAATACAAACAGTACATGTCTAATCAGCTACCAAACATCCACCACTCTTGGATTACTCAATCTGAAAGTTTGTTCTGTCTCAGTCGATCATCCTGATCCAGATGTATCAGCAGTGTTAAATAAGCACAAAAACGTATTCGAAGGAATGGGTAATCTCAAAGACAAAGAAGTTAAATTGGAAATCGATCCCGACGTCCAGCCAGTCGCTCAAAAAGCAAGGCGTATTCCATACAGTATGAAAGATGAAGTAAATAGAAAGCTTCACGAAATGGAAGAACAGGGTATAATGGTGCGCAGAGCGCTCAGCGCGAGTGGCTTTAGACCTAATAAAACACGACCAGCGAGTTTATTAAGCGGCTTCAAATACGACTACAAATTCAATAGATATACTGCCTTATTAGCATTCTTTATATAAAGAATACTAATGAGGACACGACTACAATAGATACTGCCTTATTAGTATTCTTTATATAAAGAATACTAATTAGGAGTGTTTTATGACTTTTATCAGGTTTACAGCCACTGCACGTGACATGAGATAGATAGATAGTAGTGTATTTAAGATTCACCTTGCAGCTGGACAGCTGAATTGCGTGATTTACAAGAGTATATGAAACATTATTTAAAAGATAGAATATGGGTTAATTAGGCATATTTACAAATGGTCATTAAAACGCTTAGTACTAAAAATTACATTAACTTAAGTTACTAGACATAGGAATAAAAGTTTTTTTAAATCTTTCTGTATTAGTTTCGAATCGTTCAAACAGTCTATTGTTCCTAAGTTGGTAAACCGACTCATGTTTGGGAGGCAGTAAATTATGCAGTTTGTGTGTAGGATTGATAGTAATATTTGTAAAAAGTTTGTTACACATTTCATCGCGTCTCTGGAACAAAGTTTGAAGATTGAAATATTCTAAAGTTTCGCTATATGAGTTCGCGGGTAAAATGATCTTCAGTGCTCGCTTTTGTACCGTCTAGATCTCAAGATCTTCTGACAGGAAGGATGGGATTGAGTGATGGAAAACCGGGGCACAATATTCCAAAATGGGCCTGATAACTGTACAGTAAAAGTTTACAATGTCTTTCGGACTGTATATATATATATATATATATATATATATATATATATATATATATATATATATATATATATATATATATATATATATATATATATATATATAATAATAATAATAAAAGTCTTTATTTCGCTACTCAAATCAAACGTCTGAGTTTACATATTAAGAATAAAAAAATTGATTCTTACTGTTATTTACATCAATTTTTAGTACTTTAAAATTCTAAGGTATGAGAATATAGATATATAGTATATAAAATTGTAAAGACATCTATTTATAAACGCGTTTTTGAACCTCTCAGTTTTAACAATTGGTAGTTCAAAGTCATGACCTCTCCGTCGTAAAGGTCGATTTAACTTACTAGGTAAAAGATTGCGTAAGGCATTCTTATCATCATTTATAATTTTTGACCATAATTTCTTGTCTCTGTTCGATATTGTTGCTTTAAAATCTGATCTGTTGCTTGTATAACAATTTCTATAGGCACGATTGACAAACTTATCAATTTGACTTACGTATTTGTTGTACGATGCTCCACCCCAAACTTCGACTGCAAAGGTGAAAAGAGAGACTATAAGACTATTGAAGAGAAGATCCAATTGATGTGAAGAGAGCGCGTAGTGTTTACAAACCCTTAGAATATACATTCTTCTACTAGCTTTTTTCATCATCTCTTCGAAATGTTTATCCCATTTACCAGGTATGTCTTCCATCGGGACCCCCAATAATTTGAGCCATTCTTTCCGTTTTATGGGTGGGATGTGATCCGGAAGGGGAGTAGACACTTTTCCGCGAAATATCATTTCATAGGTTTTCTCCATGTTTAAAGACATTCTATTCTCGTTTGACCATAGCTTCATGTTTTCTACTTCATCCTCAGCTGAATTTTCGTAATCATAAACTGGTGCTATTATTGCAATATCATCAGCAAATTTGGATAAATCATTGGAGAGACTCACCGCCTTGATATCATTGACCATTAGAGTAAACATTATAGGCTCAAGCACAGTACCCTGGGGTACGCCACGATTAATGTCTAGAAATTCAGTTGTGACACCATCAACTTTCACTCTCTGTCTGCGGTTGTTCAAAAAGTCGTCTTTATATAAAGAATACTAATTAGGAGTGTTTTAT